AAGCTTGAAAATCAAATAGTCGTTAGAATTTGAGCAATATAGGATGAGAAATAAAATATTCAAAAACGACGTCTCAAAACTTAAAAAATTGTTCTCTTTCACATTTCTTTCCTTAAACCAATCAATCCCTAACTTTCACATTTGAGTAAGAGCCAAAGACCATCATTATCAAGATCTTAAGTAATTTTTTAATACTAAAAATATTTGACACTCTAAATAAATGGTTATAAAAGTTTATCCTATAGACACTTTTGATGGAGGAGTCAAATAATTAAATAATTTTTTAATATTTTTACTTTTAGGACACTCTTAAGAGTGTTATGATTAATGATGTCCTAAGAGGCGAAAACGTTTTTTCTACTAATCTTGACGTTTTATATTTGATCTATTCAAGTCACCTTTGAGCAACTTTTTTAAAAGACAATAAAACAACTTTAGAAGTCGAGACCATGTCTGTACGAAACTTATGAACAACGATACTAAACTCAAGCTCTGTTCCAACAATATTGTATCTTACAGACAAACGACATGCTCAAGAAAACTCTGAATGAAAGAGGAAAAAAAAAAGATCACTCCCAAGCTCATGTTTACTTATCGAATTGTTGGAGATCGATTTCCCAAACTGATGCCAACTGCATCACGAGCTGTTCCGGCGCCGGACCTTCCCAGTCTTCAGGGGGATCCATCGTCGAACATGCATCTTGTAAGTTGTACAAGATCTCTGTCTTCAGTTCCAATGGTACTCCAAACGTGTCTGCACCATCTTGTAAAACCACTTCTAGCAGCTGCAAATGGCAAAAAAAGAGAAAACTTAAGACGAAACGTCGATATGATTCTTGGAACCCAATGTCATGTATTATATGTACCTGTTGAATCCAAGATAAGCAGATGTCGTAGAGATTGTGATCCAGCAGAAACTGAGCGATAAAATTTAGAGCTTCATTTGCTATCTCATTTGACATCTGGTCAATAGACGGCCCCGTCTTGTCCATCAGCTTGATGATCAAGTGCTGGTCACCAGCGCAAAGAACTTCTGCGTAAGCGGAATCAATGTCACCAGCACGAAGTGAGTGCATTGCATTACTCCATGAATTCCATATCGGGTCACGTTCCTGCCCTTCGTTTTCTTCATCTCCCATGGCTTCAGCTTCAGGGACAGAAGCCACTCGGGTTGGTCGAGTGACTGCACCATCCTCACCGGCTACTCTAATTGCTTCAAGTGTAGCTTCATCCTTTGATGCTTGCCACACACTTCTTGCTGAAGGACCTTCACCAAATCTAATAGTTCCAGCTGCTTTATTATCCCAACCTCTCCTCCCATTTACCATGTGCTCATTCTCGTGTTGTTCTGACCGGGGCGACCTTCTTGGCACGGCTTGTCCGTTTCTGGAAGCAGCATGTGGAGGCATGAACCAGTCATCTGCCATGTCAGAACTCCACATCCTCCCCCTCATAGCTCCATCAGGTTGTGAGCCTCTGTCTCCTGGAGCTCGGCCATTATACTTTCCGGTAGAATAGTTTGCAAAGCTATTATATTTGCCAAATCCAGTTGTGAGATTACCCCTACGACCTGATGATATTGAAAGATCTCTTGCCATGTCTTCAACAATCCTCTCTAAACCCCTTACCCTGCCCTCTAAAGTCACCATACTGTCATGTGACCCACCAATAAACTCTTGGAGCATGTTCATAAGATTTGTCTGTTGTCTCTCTAGCTGCAACAACTGTCTCTGGATAGCTGACCAATTTCCTCTGTTACTAGTAAAGGATCCTTCAGATTGGATATCAGTATTGGAGATAGCAGCGTGATTTCCGGGTGTCTCTTTTCTGTTTACAACACTAGCCTTATCATTACCAGATGTCCCTGCCTGTGATCCGTTCCCATCAAACCTACCTTTTACCGGTTTATCACTCGCCGACTCTAAGTTGTGGAATTTAGAATCTGGAAATCCATGATCATCTGTTTGGATGTTCTTGAAGCGATTTGATGATCCCATGGCATTGAGATCATCGAGTCCTGATTCTTCCTCATTGTTGTTTTTACTACGAGGGACTACTACTTCCACGGATTGCCTTCTTTCTAGTCTCTGGAAAAATTCAGGGTTAAACTCTTTGTCACTCAAGGCAGGTGCTTTCTTCTTCAACATGACTACTGCTTTTTCAGCTAGACCTCCTTTTCCTTTAGAAGCAGAGTCCAGTGAGAGTGTGGAACCATCTGGTGCCTCCTTTTTCATTAGATCAGCTAGATTAGACCTTTTCTCCCCATTTTTCTCTGACTCATCTGAAGCACCATCTACACATTTTCCAGAAATCTTTTTCCATAACTGCAGCGCATCTGTCACACTTTCCCTGACAGGTTTAATCTGTGCAAGAAAATATCATCATTATTAAACTGTCTTGAGAACATCACTATGTAAACTAACTAATAGATTTTCAATGAATGCGTAGCTCGTTTCAATGAATGTACCTACCTTGTAAAAATGACATGTCTCAAACTCAGTAAGAGAGTAATTGGCTTTTTCTTAATAAAACCTCAGATTACTTAGACAAAGAGAACGTAGCTATATACCTTGTCAAACCGACAGGTCTCAAGCACAGCAAGAGTGGAATCTGTTCTGTCCTTGATCAAACTACTTGAATGTGATGCCAATGCAGTTAACGTCTCTGCCGCAGCCTTTCGTGTTACCCAATCTGTACTCCCAAGGCAGTCATGGATACTTTCTAGTAATGACTCCAAGCTCTGAGGAGCGATGGCTCCCACCTGAACCAAGAGTTATTATTCTTCACTTCTCTTTTTCAAAGACAAGTTTAACCATTGAAACAACTAACATTGAATTACCAAGAGTAAAGAGAGAGAAATGCTTAAACATAAACGAATTTCACCGGATCTATCAAAACAATAAGCTTCAGCGACTATATGATTAAGACTAAACATCAACCAGTGAGGTCAGGTGATAGAATGTATATACATCCATATTTATCCTCCAGTTTATCTATTTAAAAACCACTACATACTGCTGAGCCCCAATAACAAGATTATAATCTATTGGCTAAAGCTTCCAACAAGTTGACTAAAGCTTCAATAACGGCACAAACATAGTGTGCATTGTTACTCTATACATGACAAGGAGATTAAGGGTTCCGCACAAACCTGAGACAGACTTGAAACCACGGGCAAAAGGGAAGCCTTAGCCAAGAAACTGGAATTGCTCAATAGCTTGCAGATTCTAGGGCAAAGCTTTTGGAAAGAAGTAATTGGAGGAGTAGCCGCTGATTCAACCATCCTGGCCATACACATTGCCGCTCCAGATTGTACCACTTTGTTCTGCTCTCCCATTGCCTCGAACAGTGGCTTAACAAACAGACCCACCGCAATTGAGGCTGCACCAGTGTTGTTCCCATCTTCTTTTCCCTTGAGATAAATCGCAGACAAAGCACCAATCGTATCCCGACAAGCATCCCTGACTCCAGAATCGGAATCCTTCAACCGTTTAACTATCTGAGCGATGATTCGAGTGAGATGCGCAGCCGTAGAATCGGAATGTAGACTACAGACGTACGAGAGGAGATGGAGACACTCCTTTTTCACGGCGGGTTTTGGATCGAAGCACGAATCGTAGAGACAGTTGAGAAACATGGGTAGGGTTTCGGGGGAGAGAGACTCAATAGTTTTCTCGAGATCTTCAACGGCGATCTGGTATGTGTCTCGATCGGCGAGCTTAGAGATAGAGGTGAGGATCTTTTGCTTTAGCTCCACCATGGCTTGGAAAGAAGTGAGAGAGCCCGAATTGGAGGATGACCTAGTTGTCATGCTCGACGACCTCGCTGGTTTTGTCGGCTTCGCCGCCGAACCGTACGGTGTAGTTGTGCTCATTCCGAAATCGCCGGCGAGAGAAGAGGTAAATCGTAGAAGAAGGGAGACGAATTGCAGAAGGACGATGAGATCTGACACTGCAAAGCGTAACGGTTAAGACTGCAATTTTATCAGTGTATTAGCTTTTTCAATTTTTTTCAAAATCTTTACATAAATAAATAATTGAACTTGGTTTTCTTCGGTCTTTGGACATTTTGGTTAAAAAATACGTACAGTGTTCGGTGATTAAATGCCCTTAAATCATACAATCATACGAAATGGAGAAAGAATCGAGGTATATGGTTAAAACAGGGGAAATTGAAAAAATGTGCATATTTGCAAAAATATCATTTAGGGGTGTTCATTTGCAAAAATGCCACTAATTATAGATTTTAAAACTCTATATCTTAAAATTCTAAACACTAAAAATTGTTTTGACCCCTAACCCCCCCTAAATCCTCATAACTAAACCGTAATAGAACATAATTATTCAAACATAAATAATATGAAGAAAAAATAATTTTGAAAAAGTGGCATTTTTGTAAAGATTTCAAATGTGTGGTATTTTTGTAAAGTGACACTTGAAAAGTAGCAATTTTTGAAATTTCTCGTTAAAATATGAGTCAATGTATAGCATGTTATTTTTTAAATAAAATTAAATAGAGTATACTTTTATTTTCTTATATGGATACATAAATTTTGCAAAATTAATATTTTAAATAAATATTTTGAAATAGCAACTTATGGTGTTATTTTTGCAAAATTAATATTTTAAATAAATATTTAACGAATTGTATGATGATTTAGTTTATGATAAAAATGATTTTACATCTTCCAATAATAAATTGCTAAGTCATCAGGAAAATATGGGGCAATTTCAAAAATGTCATTTTTAAAATATTCATTTTGCAAAAATAACACCATGAGTTGCTATTTCAAAAATATCACAAATTAATGATTTTTATATATTAAACTCTAAATTTTTAAACTTTAAAAAATATTTTTGATCCTAACAAATTCTAAACCCCAAACCAAACATAAATGTTATTTTTAGTAAATTATATAATATTAGTGGTATTTTTGAATTTTTTTAAAAAAATTATAGCATTTTTGAAAATTAATATTTCTAAAAAATTCTCTTACATTATCCTCAAAAAGCGTTTGACAGCATTCTTTTCAAATAAGACAATGTAGGCATGAACAACCTATTGTTGTTTAGAGAAAACTTTCATTCTCTTATATGGCATGCGGCTGATATATTTTATTTGCCTATAAAATTCATTCTTTTATAGGACCTAGCTGAACCGTCCAAAACCGTCGGATTCGCCGGATCCTCCAGATCCGCAGATATGTCCTCCCCTCCGTCGGTTACAATGCTTCCTTGTGGCTTAGCCATTCGATTCACCTACGAATCATACGTAAAGTGTAACTTTTGTTTACATTACGATATATATCAGAAATTTATAAACTATGAAAAAATTTCAAAAATGTCATTTTTAAAATATTAATTTGCAAAAATACCAATAAAAATTATTATTTTCAAAAATGTCATAAATTAAAGATTTTTTATACCTCAAACCCTAAAATTTTAAACTTTAAAATATATTTTTGACCCTAACAAACTCTAAACCCCAAAAACTAAACCCTAACATAACATAGTTACTTAAACATAAATGTTATTTTGAATAAATGATATAATATTAGTGATATTTTAAAAAAAAATTAAAATGATAGCATTTTTAAAAAATAGTATTTCTAAAAAATTCTCTTAAATTATCCTCAAAAAGCGTTTGAAAGCATTCTTTTCGAATAAGACAGTGTAGGGATGACTAACCTATTGTTGTTTAGAGAAAACGTTCATTATCTTATATAATGCGGCTAATATATTTTATTTGCCTATAAAATTCTTTCTCTTATAGGGTTCAGCCAAACCGTCCAAAACCGTCAGAGCTGCATGATCCGTCCTCCACTCCGTCGGTTATTATGCTTCCTTGTGGCTTAGCCGTTCGATCCACCTACGAGATGTGTGAGGAGTACCTCCTCATCCTTCCTTGTCGCAGCAAAGATCAATCTCGCTTAATCGGAGTTTTTCTCCGGCGATGGCTGATGCCTCCGGCCCTCCGCTGCCTTGCTCACCGTTAAAGCACAACCGTTGCCTTATGCCCCAATTTCACTCTGCAGCCCATCGTGGTTGTGCGATGATGAATTTGGGCCTTTGTGATTTCATTATGGGCCTTTCAAAATCCAGTCCATTGAGGCCCATGGTCTCTACTCAAACTTCCTCCATATCGGGCATGGAGAGAATTTTACCACCTTTCTTTCCTCTGGGGAAGAGAACGTTTCTACATTCCTCTCTTCAAGGAGAGAGAACTTTTTCATCATGTCCCTTTTCTATGAAAAGTGGTTTTCCTCGGTCGTAATACAGAAGATAATTTTCAACATACTCTTTGTTTTGTCTTCTTGTGTAGCGGTCTTCACGGGACAGAAGAAGTAACCGGATTCGTCTCGACGCGATCCGGAGATGAGGATTGGTTTTCAACGTCATATTTTGAAGTGACTAAATTTTAATATTCCAGCTATGCCGTGAAGTTTCCACCGACACATTTGAGCTTTGTCTCCATTTCGCTGTCAACCTTGTATGAAGAATTATCTGTTTTCTGTATTGTAGTGTATTTTATTGTATCAATCGAAGAGGATGTGTTCCCCTCTTCTCCATGCACTACAAGAAAGAGGGTATTTTTCAGACGGATTTTCCGACGGAATTCCGACTGAATTTCGAGGAATTTCCGAGGAAAACTTATCCCTCGGAAATCTTCCTGAAATTTCCGACGGATCCCCGTCCGTCGGAAAGTCGTCGGACTTTTTTGAATTTTCTGAGGGATTTCCGAGGACTTTTTCAGGACTGTCGGCAACATAACCGTTAATGTATCCGTTGGAGGAGCCGTTGCAATTTACAAGTCCTCGGAAATCCCTGGGAAATCCCTCGGAAATTTCGTCTATA